TTTTGTGTTATAGAAATGAGGTCCACAGATCTACCCACCATCATCGTCAGTGCCAAACACACTGGGGGAGTGCAAATATTAATCAAAATGACATCTCCAATTTCTCTCCCTTCCTAATCAGGCCTAAATATCATGGGGCAGCCAGGAAATCAATAAGAAAAACTGGATGCTTGCATCACTCCCAACTTGGAAGCCCTGTCTTTTCTGCCATGACGAAGACCCCTGGTGTTAGCACAAACACTTGCCAACTTCAGTCCTTCGCCTCTCCCATGAGATGCACATGTCCACCTAGGTGCCCACCTAGGATCCCAAGCTTTATCCAACATGCATATGATGACACCAGTCACTGAAAGACAGCCCTTGTGCCATTTTAAGATACAACAAGCTACGGAGGTAGGAGTGGCTCTAAGATATGCAAGTGCATTCTTTCAGAGTCTCAGGAATAAAGTATATATTGGTGGTAACAAAGTATTTAAGAAAGACTAACAAAGTCTCACTGCATCTTCCACACCTGAGGGAAGGGGTGGCACAGGAATTGATCCTAAGCCTTATACATATCCAAACATCAACCACAAAGACTTTGAGCACATAGCTGGGCACTGATGACTCATTCCTTTGACCACAGCTACTTAGGAGACTGAGATCTGAGGATCACACTTTGAAGCCTGAGCAGAAAAGTCCATGAAACTTATCTCCAATAAACTATTCAGCACCAAAAGTGATGTTGTGGCTCCAGTGGTAGAATGTTAACCTTCAGCAAAAGAAGCCCTTGAGTTCAAGCCCCAGGACCAGCACATACCCCAAAAAGACTTTAGAACAAATAAAAATTAGTATTTCTGGCTCAATGTCTTCTTCCTTTTCCTTTCTAGTGCCCTATCTCCCTCCCCTTCCCCACCTTTATCCCACTGATGACTTTTTTTTTTTTCTGTACAAGCTCTGGGATGGTTCTATGGCTGAGGGATCTGATGTCTATTTTCACATCATTTACTTTCAGGAGGCAGAATACTGAATAAATAGAACACAAGTCTAAGGCCATTCACAGTTGGAGCTAGTGTTGAACCCTAGAGAGAATATCTATTACTACACATAAGAGGCAAAGGAAAGAGACGATAGGGAAAAACAAAGGAAGAGGTAACAATGCTCGATAGGAAATGTACTCATTACCTTACTCATGTAACTGTAACCTCTCTGTACAGCATCTTTACAATAAAATAAATATTTTTTAAAAAGTCAAAGGCCCAGGAAAAAGTGACTGGGGTAGAAAATACACAGACTTAACACCTAAGGAGGAAGGGCATGCCCAGTGGGATCCAGAAATCCTAGAAGAACTTTTTTTTCCCCCCATCGGTCATGGGGCTTGAATTCTGGGCTTGGGCACTGTCCCTCAGCTCTTCAGCTCAAGGCAAATGCTTGAGCTATAGTACCACAGCACCACCTCCGGTTTTTTGAGTGGTTTATTGAAGAGTTTCATGGACTTTCCTGACCGGGCTGGCTTTGAACTGTAATCCTCAGATCTCAGCCTCCTAAGTAGTTAGGATTACAGGTGTGAGCCATTGGTGCCTGACTCCTAGAAGAACTTTTAAAGGATCAAGTACAGCTGGACAGTCATGAGCTGAGGGCCACCACAACTGGCCAGTGTTCATGTGAATTCATTTCAACCCCATCTACTAAAGTCAACAATGCTGGGGTTAGTTCATGCATTCTTTCACTGATTTATGGGCCAGTCATATAAGTCAACAAGACACATTCCAGTTAGGCTCTTTTCAGCCTGTTTGAGTCTCAGCTGGTGTTTTTCTCCCTACCCTTGTGGAAATATAAATGAAAAGGCTTCTGAGCTCAGATATTTCTACATGCATAAAAAATTAAAATCAAGTATGATGAAACCTTCTTAGCCAGATGGAATTCCACTTAAGGGAAAAACAATAGTTTGTTCAACTATAAGCAAAAGAGGAATTGCAGAGATTAAAGGCAACTGGTTAAAAAAAGAGTCAGTACCAGACACAAGACCAAGAGGAAGAACACAGACTTATAAGGAATGAGGTAATGCTTTAGGCAAGAGCATGTCATCAATATGAAGACATCAATATACTCATGAGTACAGTTTTCAGCAGTCATAACGTTCAGTTGGAGCTGAGGTTGTTAAAAACCATCATTGTAGACGGGTGCTAGTGACTCATGCATCAGAATCTAAGGATTGTAGGTCCAAGATAGCCAGAGCAGAAAAGTCCATGAGACTTTGAGTTCCAATTAACCACCAAGAAGCCAGAAGTAACACAGTGGCTCAGCTGGTAGAATGCCAGCCTTGGGGGAAAAAGCTAAGGGATGGCACCCACACCTTGATTTCAAGCCCCAGAACAGGAACCAAAAAAAAGAAAACCTAAAATAAAATAAACATCAATGTAGTTCACATGAGATAACTAGTCTCATTTGGAACATTCTCTAGATTTGACACTAGACATACACACATTTAACATGGCAGCTCTAAAACTAACCTTTTCATAAGAAACACTACCAATAAACCAGCTCTGGGGGATTCATGAATTAAACCATGATGTGTTCTTAATGGTCACTATAGTGATCCCTGTCCATTCCATTCTTTCTAACTTTTTAGTTGTCCTACCTCAAGTACAACAAACTGATGCCCACAACTGAACATCTTTCACCTCTGACTCCTGGATTAAATTAATGGAGGTGACTCAAAGGAAGTGAAGACATTATCTTTCAACACAGCCTGTTTCTCCTGTGTATCTGGCTAAAAGTGCTTTTCTTGTACCTTATTAGGAGAACCTACTTTCCCTGAACATCAGCCCTTGCTGGGTTTCAGCACTTTATTTTCTCCTCTTTGTTTCAGCTCTATAGGTAACAATTATTTCCTGATGCTGCCAAGGTCTAGGTGCTAGACACTTCACTGCTTGCTCTTGGTCTGCCTACTCATAGCCTTATAACTATTCCTTTTTTGAAATTTCATTATTTGACCTATCTGAATTGAATGCAGTTTCCTGCCAGGACTGATTGAAATATAATACAGAAATCTACTTACTGGGCTGGGAATGTGGCTTAGTGGTAGAGTGCTTGCCTAGCATTCATGAAGCCCTGGGTTTGATTCCACAGTACCACATAAACAGAAAACGCTGGAAAAGGTGCTATGGCTCAAGTGGGAGAGTGCTAACTTTGAGCTAAAGAAGCTCAGGGACAGTGCCCAGGCCCCAAGTTAAGCCCCTTGACTGGCAAAAAAAATTCTACTTATTAACATTAAAATGATGTCTGACAGAAAGTAGATCACAGTATTAATACCACTATGTTTAGGTAGTAGGATAGGATCGTTTTCCCCCATTTTATGTCTTTTTAGTTTTCAAATGTCTACAACATTTCATTACATATTTGAGGGAAATAATAATAAAATTAAATGTAAAATGAAAATATAATCTCAAGAAATACTAGTTGGTTGGTTTCTCTCTTTTATTCCCTACATCAAGAATTTCATAAATAAAATATTGCATTACCTAAAGGTATCCTGAAAGTATCATGAACACTTGATTGTGACCAGATACTTTATTCCATTATGTGAGAAATACATGTTCAGTGACAAAGTGTTCACAATTACACATGCAACTGTGCACACTTGTCATGTCTGTGATGCTTCAGAATTGGCCTTCATAAGCAGAAGACTTTACTGTATTCTATGATAATCACAGAGCTCACTGCCTATAGATAGTAGTTCATTTAATTTACAAGCTAGTGGATAGCAGCTTATTTACTCTTGCAGAGAGGATTATGACTCCCTTTTCACACAGAAGAAAATTGTCATGCAGAGAAATCATATAATTAGCCCAAAGTCATATATTTGTCTTCATGAGCAGGTCCTACAGGCAATCTTGGCTTTAAAAGCCTATTTTAATCCACTAAACTCAATGGCCACTCTCATAAGTAAACTGCCTAAGACTTTCTGAAACTCTCCTAATTTTGGATTTGTTGTGCAAAGAACCACGAGAGTTCACCAATTATGAGCTACAAAATCCTGAAAATCTACATACAGATCTGCAAGTCTCCATCAATGAGATGCTAATAATACTTCCCTTCCTAGAAAATTTGAGAAACACATGACATAACACATGAAAGACATCAAAACTCTAAAGCAAAACCAGCTGGCAAATGAAGGACAACACTATGCTGCCCCCTTGAAATGATGAGGGTGTAAGTCATTGTCAGTAACACATGGTAGTCAAATGTAAAGAAAATAGTTATTATTTTGATGAGGCATAACTCTAAAATATACTGTTATGAACTATTTGTTATAACACTCAATGTAAAACCACTACTGATTAATCAATAAGAACCATGCAATCCTTTCAATGAAACACACTCCCAAGCTCACCTCCCTCTCTCCCATTCATTACTTGCCTCACCTTATTTGATATACATCCTCAGAATTTTCTGAAATACATTCCTCTCAATCTCTAATTTTACAAGTAGAGCAAATTAAACAAAAACCATTACAATTCAAACTCTCCATTCTCTGTGGTACAATATGAAAAGTTTAATTGAGCCACTTAGTTTTCTGTTTCCCTGACTCAACTTTTTTTGAGTTTTCTAATTAATTATATTCCATTATTCCTGATGATCAATTAGCTCAAAATGTTGCTGAGATAGTGAGTATGCTGAAGACGGCAGAATTTAATGATAATTTGAGACTAGTAGGACACTAAATTTTTCTCTTGTTAATAATTAAAGTAGATAACTTATGTTTTTATTTATGGCTTCCAGAAATATCCGGTTCATTCCTTTGCACTGCCCTGTCAGCTAACCATCAGATGATCAGGATCTGACTTAAGCTTCTGTGCTTTATTTTCCATATATACCCCAGAAGGCATAGATAAAGCCCATGCAAAGATTAAAGGAAATGAAGTCAACCCTATGTAATCTCTTGAGCTTTCTACCTGGCCAAATGCTTGTGCATCATAAATATGCAAAGAATAAACAAGAGTAAAAATTCACTTTACCTGTTTCAATTTCCCAGATGTAGACAGAGTCATCTGCACATCCAACAATTAAAAAGTTTTCCACAGGGTGCCATCTGATTGTCCTCACAGGGAAAAGGTGTTTCCGGGCTTGAAGGAGGCAGCTTCTCCCCTCCAGGTGAAGGAGAGACACAGAGTGGTCACTGCACACACAGCAGATTATCTGATCATCTCTGAACTGGGAAAAGACAACAGGAAGGTCCAAGTAATCAGATGGTTTATGACTAAATAAACATTTCCCGACTGGTAATATGTCACTTTGGTTAAAGTCCGATTTATAAAAAGTAAAAAAAAAATAAGACATTTCTACTTTTGGGGGGTTTTGTTATTTGTCTTTGACATTTCTAATTTCTATAGAAACTCTTCACATGGCCCTCTAAGAAGAGCCTTTAAATACAGAGTAGAGTTAAACTCAACAACCTCTCAGGAAGGTCAAGAGATAGAAGTAGAAAGGAAAATTCTTGGCTAGATCTACTTGGGAGATAAATGAAGGACTTGATCATCACTCAGCAAATTCAGGCAGTGAGGCAGACATCGGAAATAATGTAGAATAAAATAAACCCCAGAACTAATTTGTTGCCACAAAAAGAAGCTATTTGTAGACACAAGCTTAGGCCCAAGGGTATCATGAGATGATAGTTTCCACTGAAAGCCTCAAAATGTGATTTGGTGCTGTTCCCAGAACTATACAGATTCTAATCCAAACAGGAAATTCAGTGTAGACACAATCTAAAAGAGGTAAGCCTACAGTAGTTCAACTGAATGTACAGCCTCAAAGACACAAGAACCAAAAATAGGCTCTCAGGACAATGATCTTGAAATTTTAACTGGGAGAGAATGAGGGAAGGGGTGACATTGTTCAAAAAGAATGTATTCTTTATCTGACATTTAAGTGTAACCCATCTGTACATCACCTTTACAATAAGAATAAATAATTTTTTAAGTATTTTTTAAAAGTCAGCATGTGGTTTCCTTCACTACAGTTGAGGACCATGACTATCTAAGCTGGGTGTTGTTGACCTACCCATAATTTCAATTCCTGGATTTAAAGATGAGCGCTCTTGAAATTCTCTCCGGGCCTTTATTTCCCACCTCTGGTGCTTTGGAAACATTTCTGCCCCCCAAGATTCTTTTTAAAAATACTACATAAATCCTGAGGAAAAAAAAATTACATGGGAAGCTAGACTTGTAGAGTAAATACAATGCCATATTTTTTCTAACTTTCCTGCCTTAACCCACAGCTTCTAAAATGTACAGCTCTTGTGGTCCACACATACACACCAAAGAGAGAGAAAGAGAAGAGAAAGAGGGAGAAAAAGAGAGAAAGGGAGGAGAGGGAGAGAGAGGGAGGGAGAGAGAGGAAGGTACAGAGGGAGAGGAAGGGAGAGGGAGGGAGAGGGAGAAGAGGAAGAGAAGGGGAGAGAAGGAGGGAGGGGGAGAAGGAGAGGAAGAGGGGAGGGAGGGAGGGAGGGAAAAATCTTATGACCAGGAGTGGATCCCCACCAGGGACTGACACTAGGCCAATCAGATTCTGTTTTTCTAAGCATTTGAAAAATAAAAGGTGAAAGAATTCATAGGAAGAATCAAGAGAAGGGAGTAATCACAGAAAAGCATACTCTTCTAGGGTACAGGTCCCTCACTGGTGGATTTATAGTTCAAGTTCCACTGAGCCCTGTCTTGACTGCCTTAAAGGATTGCTGCTTTATTCTTTCGGTCAAGTACCTTTTGACGTGGGTTGAATGGGCGCTGAGCCTTAGAATCAAATCAAGAGAAAAAGGGATTAGGACTGGAACTGACTTGGACTTCTGCCCTGGAGCAGAAAGAAAAAAATAAATAAAAAGACTCAGGAATAAAAGATATTATCAAGATATTCCAAATCAGATGAAAACTATTTTAAACACTGACCTACAATTATTTCATTAAAAATCATTTGTATTGTTGAAATGTTGCTTTCCTTATATCTTACTACAAAAACACAGTATATATTTTCTTTAGTATATATTTTCATAAGCTTTATGGAAGATGAACCTAACTTGACTTCATGAGAAAATTATAACTAAACCTGTTTCATGTGGCTCAACTCTAGATAGGTTGGTACTCATGAATTTGTTGAAGTTCAATATTTATTAAAGAAATAAGCACAGGGAGTGCAGTTATACCCATAGTGGTACATAGGCTAGGGCCGGCATGTCCTTGGCTTTGGAGCTGTTATCTTTCCAGTGCTAGCGACGAAAGAGCGAATTTAAAATGGGTGAGGTTGAGAAAGAAGATTTTTGTTCAGAAGTGTGCCCAGTGCCACACTGTTGAAAAGCAAGTACTAGACTGGGCCTAATGGTCTGTTTGGTCTGAAGACAGGTCAAGCAGCTAGATTCTCTTAGGCAGATGCCAACAAGAAGGGACAAAGGCATTACCTGGGGAGATGACACACCCAAAAAGTACATCCCTGGAACAAAAATGATCTTCTCTGGCAATAAGAAGGGAAAAAGGGCAGATTTGATAGCTTATATTCAAAAAAGCTACAATGTATAATAACTACTGCCTTATTTATTGTAAAACAAATGTCCCATGGCTTTTTAATATGTACCATAATTCAACTGATCTCTAACATCAGAATTTAGATCATAAATGGCTGACAGAATATTTTTGTACAATCCTGATTTAAGTAAAACTGTCTTGTGCTTAAATAAATATGATCTTTAAAAATTCTGTCATTGTTTTCCCTTTCTGTGATATAAGTGGACTTAGTAAAGTTCAATTTTTCAGCAGGATACCATCTCCAAATCTGTCAAAGATTGGGTTTGGATTCAGATTTATATAGCTAATTTTGAGAGCATCTTTAAATACTGGAGAAATCCCTTCACTATCTCAGAACCAAGCAAGATTCGCCTACTTCAATTTATGATCATTAATCTGTTAAAGGCAATGGTTGAAGATGAGGAAGCAATGTCTGTTTTTTTGGTTTTGACTATGCCAATTTAATTAGATTTCCATGTCTTTGAAGTCTGTCTTTTACTTACTGAAAGGCATTTTAGTATGGCTTATGTAAAATTGTCCAATAAAGAATATTTAACACTTACTACATTTTATAGTTGATCTATAAGTCAGATGCTTTTAAAAGGGACCAAGATAGATACAAAACCAACTTTATTTTTGAATTCTTTACTAAGATAGCCTGTTATTTTAGGTTTGTCTTTAAGCCACTGTTCAGAAACACAAAATTGTGGAATTACTGTGTATATGTGATTGATAGTCCTGCTTTTTGCCAACTTCTTAGAGAAAAGGTTTCAAGTAGGGGAGATAATTTGCAAATTATGTGGCCATAAGAATTTAGGTAATTAAAAGTAAATTACATGAAAAAAAAGAGAAAGAAGCACAGGGACAGGAGGATAAAACTGGGGGAAAGTAAAGGAAGGGATATGTTGTCCAAAAAAAGAAATGTACTCATTACATGACTTATGAAATGGTAACCCCTCTGAACTTCACCTAATAATAACAAAACTATGTTCTAAAAGAAATAAGCAAATAAAAATCCACATAGGGAAAAACATAAATATCAGTATTTAAAAAATTATTGAAGAAAAACTAAATTTATGGTTTCCAACCATTGTTTAACTGCAAATTTGTATTATTTATTTTTTAAAAGATGTGTTTGTTTATTCATTTTTTTGTGGTACCTTCTTTTTTTTGGGGGGGGGTCCGGTCGTGGGGCTTGAACTCTGGGCCTGGGCGCTGTCCCTCAGCTCTTCAGCTCAAAGCTAGTACTCTACCACTTGAGCTACAGCGCCACTTCCGGCTTTTTTCTTTTTGCTTATGTGGTGCTGAGGAATCGAACCCAGGGCCTCATGCATGCAAGGCAAGCACTCTACCACTTAGCCACCTTCCCAGCCCTACTTTTATTTTTTAAAATCTCATATTAGAGCTAGAGAGAAAAAAAGGGTAGGTACTCAGAGAAATAATTAAGTGGCTTTGGGGAAGCGAGAATTGGTTACATATTTGCTTTGCAATAAAATTGTGTAACATAATAAATTAAAATGTATATAAAATGATTAGAAAGGAAAAATCCCATTATATATGGATATATAGAAAAAATTTTCCCATAAGTATATGCATTATGTTCCCTTGATGTTCTTTTAATATTTTGTCATGTTTTAATTATTTTAACTTACTCTGAAGTTTTCTGGTGACATTGAAAGACTTGTTACTGGACCAGCTTCCAAAGAGAACGTATGCAATATTTCTTCAGTAAAGATATCCCACAATATGACACATGAACCTTGGTCCCCAGACACCATCCAACTTTGGTCTAATTTTGAAGAGACACTATGTAGGTAAAGCAATGAAGTAACACTTTGGTGATGCCCTTTAAGAACTTTATTAGAGAGAGAGTCTGAAAAAATAATCAAACAAAATAGCACGAAGTTATTTTAGTTCAAGAACTAATCATATTTTCTGATTTTTCATTTGAACACATGGCCTGTGCTTATTTGGCAGGGGCTCTACTGTTGAGCTATGCCTCCAGCCCTTACATGCACTGGTTATTTGTGAAGTTCCTGTTAAGGATTGTATTTAGACCATTATCCTCCCATTTTTTTGTATCCGATTGGAACCAGGATGCCAAGTGCATGCTACCACACATAGCTTCTTCTGCTGAGACTGTCTTTCAGACTTTGCTACTCAAGTTTGCCTGGAATTGTGTTCCTCCTGTTCTTAGCCTCCATATAGCTAAGATGACAGGTATGTACAAACACAATAGCTATTGGTTAAAGGGGGGAGGGTTGGAAAAGACATTGTTTTGCAACAGTAGCCCTTATTTCATAATCCTCCAGATCTCAGCCTCCCAAGTAGCTAGGATTACCAGTGTGAACCACAGTGCCTGGCTTTCTTTGATCTATTTTTAGTATTAGCAAACACTTAGAAAATGAGTAAACAACCCTCAGGCTATCTGAACAGGCAAAGACCTCATCAGAAGCTCTATCTTGCTTCTGATAAAGCACTTAAGTCAGTTGTGTAAGTCTACTAATTCTCTAAGATGTAAGTTAGCAACTCACGTGTCACAAAAACAACAAACACTATTCTAAAAAGAGTAGCTAATTCATTTCCTTTTCCTCTACCAAATAGCCTAATATTATTTCTATCATTCTTTAATTCAACCAATCAAGTATAAAACCTAAGAAAAGTTTCAAGGAATATGTGTCCATGAAAGTCATTAGCGAGTACCTAGCTGTACCTGCTTGTTTTACAGATAATGTATCAGAGACTCAGGTACGTTAACTCACTTCATTTCAAGTGTCAAAAATCAGCCTTAAAGTTTAAGAGCATAAGTTTGCTGTGAAACAAATCTGCCTTTTATTTCTGGGTCAATCACTGACTAGATGCTTTTATCATGGACAAACAGCCTTTCCCCTGTTAACCACAAATGCTGCATTGAAAGATCAGGACAATTGTCATCTTTCTTTCAAGGAGACTGTCCAGTGGAATAAATCATTTCTCAGCCCCTGACTTAGCACTTACTCGATGCATAGGCATTTCAAACTATATCTATACTAAAAAACAGGATTACTGATAAGTTATTTCTCTTCCCACTAACCACTTCTGCCTTCAACATTAACCTCCTTGAAACTGGAGAAGATCATAATGAATACCATAAATTCTTTATTTCTGTTACTTCTAGTCCATCAGGTACATCGTTGCTTTCTATTTCCCAGGAACTCATAATGAGCACTAATCCAGATGCTAAAATCAGAGGCATGTTTCTGCTTGTTTTGGGGGTATTAGGGTACATCACCTAAACTTAAATAAATGCTTGGGTTTTCTTTATTTCACTTTTAAAGCAACCATTTAGCTATATACTGGTACATTACCTCTCTTCAGCTCATTGCCATTTAGTCCTCTACTTCAATCACTGAATCATGAGCAATGGTAGCATTCACTAAGTAGCGAAAGTAAGCTTAAAGAAATAATGGACACTTTAGTAGGAAAAGGGTGTGTGAGAGAGAGAGAGAGA